TCGAAAGTTCCGATACGGTACCGTATCTCTAGCCACGGCATTTTTTTTTTTTGCTTTTTTTTTTTTTTTTACCGAAACAATATATTATTTCGCTTTTGTTTCTATCGATGAGTGAAGGACTGTTTATATTTGGTCTGTAATAGAAAATATTGTATAGGGGCCCAGGCCAGGCCCGGCCTAAAAACTGGTTTAATTTTTTCTTAGTTTTTTAAAGAAAATGTATTTGAACTTGGAGTCACAATATTGCATGATGAACCTAGCTAGTGTGGCCTACATGACAATTTGGGCATCTAGGCAGAACCCTGGGCTGGGTTAGATAGAGGCTTGACCTACTACATCATAGTATTTTAATTTATTGCTGATTCATGATGATGACGATGAACACTATTGTACTCTGACCCTACTGCTGCTGTACATGTAGGCATAGGGCCTAGTACAGATTACTTGCCCAGGCTTGTTGCGTCTCATTATGTTTGAATAGATCAGAGGTGGTACCAGCGTGGGGGCAGGGCCGGGCATAATCATAATTTTCTTACCTCAGCTCAATTATGGTGGGGCTGAGGTGGTCATCAGTAAAAGTACCTCCCTGTCCACCCCCATCCCCCTTACCTCCCACCTGCCTGCCAAAAAGTAATAATGGTATATGAGACCAGAATTTCTATTAACAATAATTGGCCTATTAGTAATAATAATTATAATAATAATTATGATATAATATAATAAATACCCAATACCATTACCAGTAATGACGCAGAGATTAACAACTGTTCAAGACCACACATAATATAAAAGCAAAAGCAATAATGAGATAAGTAAAGCTCTCAGTATAAATTCAAAAGTTTTCTTTTATGTTTCACTATAAAATTGATTAAAGAAGCACATTTTTTTAAGATTACAATCGAAGTTATTCCATATTTCAGGGACAATATAAATATAATAAGCTAGTACATTTCAGTTTTCTCCCTTTAGTTTTAAGTTTACATTTACCCAGGTGTTGTAATTGTGGAGATGTGATTCATTTGCTAATACACACATTAGTTTCCTATTTAATTCATAAGTGACAGAATACATAGCAATTTCAATTTGGAAGTACGGTAATAATGTCCTGGAGTCCATGTCTACGGAATATATGTGATACACTGTCCCTGTAATTAGTTAAAGTAATAACATGAAGAACTTTTCTTTGAACCTAGCAAGTGTGGCCTACATGACAATTTGGGCATCTAGGCAGAACCCTGGGCTGGGTTAGATAGAGGCTTGACCTACTACATCATAAGTATTTTAATTTATTGCTGATTCACGATGACGACGATGAACACTATTGTACTCTGACCCTACTGCTGCTGTACATGTAGGCATAGGGCCTAGTACAGATTACTTGCCCAGGCTTGTTGTGTCTCATTATGTTTGGATAGATCAGAGGTGGTACCAGCATGGGGGCAGGGCCGGGCATAATCATAATTTTCTTACCTCAGCTCAATTATGGTGGGGCTGAGGTGGTCATCAGTAAAAGTACCTCCCTGTCCACCCCCATCCCCCTCACCTCCCACCTGCCTGCCAAAAATTAATAATGGTATATGAGACCAGAATTTCTATTTAAACAATAATTGGCCTAATAGTAATAATAATTATGATATAATAATAATAAATACCCAATACCATTACCAGTAATGACGCAGAGATTAACAACTGTTCAAGACCACACATAATATAAAAGCAAAAGCAATAATGAGATAAGTAAAGCTCTCAGTATAAATTCAAAAGTTTTCTTTTATGTTTCACTTTAAAATTGATTAAAGAAGCACATTTTTTTAAGATTACAGTCAAAGTTATTCCATATTTCAGGGACAATATAAATATAATAAGCTAGTACATTTCAGTTTTCTCCCTTTAGTTTTAAGTTTACATTTACCCAGGTGTTGTAATTGTGGAGATGTGATTCATTTGCTAATATACACATTAGTTTCCTATTTAATTTATAAGTGACAGAATACATAGCAATTTCAATTTGGAAGTACGGTAATAATGTCCTGGTTTTTTTAAAAGTACATGTCTACGGAATATATGTGATACAATGTCCCTGTAATTAGTGAAAGTAATAACATGAAGAACTTTTCTTTGAAGACGTTCGACTTTGGTAAGGTAGGAGCCACACGTACAACCCTAGACGATAATACGATAGTTAAGGATTGGTTCAATGAGTGATCTGTAAATAGAGTAATGCATTAAAAGGGAGAAAATGTCTTATCTTGTATTGTATACCAATGTAGAACTAAGATAGAAACTTTTTTTGAGACATTAAATTATGTGTTTTTTGAAGGAGACATACTCATCAATGTGGACCCGAGAAACTTTGTCACATTTACTCTTTAATAATTTCTTTACCATTAATTAAAATTTCACAGAATTTTGCTACTTTTTCCTACAGAAGATCCCGAAATATCTTACTTACGTTCAGCGATAATTCGTTACATTTAAATCATTCATTAACTTTGTCAAATTCAGTGTTTATAAGATTCATCAGAGTATTTATATTTTTATGGGCTAATAAAACATTTGTGTCATCGGCAAATTAAATTAAAGACAGAATATCAGAACAGTTAAAAATATCATCGATGTAAAGTATAAATAAAAAAAGGTCCAAGAATGGAGCCTTGTGGGACACCATACTCAATATTGCAAACTCTAGATTTTGTGTTATTCAGGACAGTGTATTGCCTTCTTCCGCAGACATAGCTCTTAAATCATTTTAAAGTTGTACCCCTGACACCATAAGGTTCAAGCTTTCTTTTTAATTCTGGTGCGTGTTCACTGTTAAAACAATCAAAGTGGATTAAATGATAAAAAATGCTCCCTGCTGCTTACACATTCTGCCTTTGCTCCTCCAAAAACACTGCAGCCTGGTTCACGTCGAACTTTTATCTAGATATACATCCACTTAACTAGTTAAAAGTTTGACGTGAACCACTCAATTATAGCTAGATAAAGGAATTAAGTCACTTAAGTTATATAGTGACTTAACTTTACTAGAATCACGGTAAATTAACTTGTTTAACGGTAAAGCCGGCTTGGATTACGAGGACACGATTACGTAACAGAGGCATCTAAGCCAGCGTTGTTGTATTGTACCACCATTATCATCTTCTGGCTGGCAACAACGTACTTTAACAATGCTAACAACAGCATCGAAGTAGTCTCATTAGTCTGATTTTCAGAAATTATTTGTAATACTATGGGTGAAAACCCAGCAAACGTCCGTTTTACGAATAGTCGATATTACCAATGACCTTTGCATCATCGACCAAAAACGTTAAAAAGTCCGATTGCGTACGTTTTTCAAAGCGATAATTTATAGTTTTCTTAATAATAAAATCAGATTTGTTGTACTTATTTATTGACAATTCAATCTTTTCTATTTCTGCTATAATAGTCGCTATTAATTCAATTTCAACGAACTACCACCAATTTCAACGAACTACCACCAACGCCAGTCGTTAAAATGGAGCGCACATGTTTACGATGACGAAATAAAAAAGTGTGTGGAAGTCAGCAACTTATTTGACACCGCGAAGCTAGATTTTCGCGAAGTGCATGTAAACAACACAATTGAGTGATCTAAAAACGACAAAACAGGACAGAAAGATCCATAAAGTATACATACGTTTTAATGAAAATTAAAACAATATTTTGTTAAATGGAAGAATGCTAGCTAGCGATTAAAATTATTCATTTTTTATCGAAGGTAAATGTAGCTAGGGCCTAGAGAATCTACTACTTAGATTGCGATAGAACACGCTGCTGCACTGTCGTTGGTTCGTACTGGTCGGCTAGGTTAGGTAGTGGAAACTCACACCTTCTCTACAGTAGTTTACAATTTTTTTTGAATGAATACCACTTGGTACTAGAGGTTCGTAAAATACAGTAGATGTTTTATTAAACAAGCCTTTCCACTGTGTGACGTCGACGGCCTGAAACTGGCTGCTGTTTATCTGGCTTTAACTTGGCATCGAACACAATTAGGGATTATCGTATCATTTTTCAGGACGGGTATATCCAGATAAAGTTTGACGTGAACCAGGCTTGCAATTTGCAGCGTTGGATTATTGGCGGATATCAGCAGGCGGCCCGAACGAGAACTGAAAATGGACGTTTTTGGATTTATACCGTGTTATACCCCTTTTACACTACAAGCAAAATTCCGGACATAACCCGGGGGTTTTCCAATACCCAGGTTAAAATCTCCAGAGTTCGTTGCCGGTGTAAAATGGGAGTAACTCGGGATCAACCCGTACTTTTTCGTTTGATGTAAATGGGAAATGCATCCGAGATCACCCCAGAATTAACATGGGTGCATTCTGCCCTTGGCAGTGTAAAAGGGGCAATAGACTCCACAAAAAACTCGCCCGAATGCACTCTTTAGGTCACATAGAAAAAATTATTAGATTTCACTCTTTCATTTTTTTAAATTGATGAGGGAGGGCGGTTTTTTTTTGCTTTTTTTTTTTTTTTTTACCGGAACAATAGATTATTTTGCTTTTGTTTCTATCGATGAGGGAAGGACTGCATATATTTGGTCTGTAATAGAAAATATTGTATAGGGGTCTGGCCTAAAACTGGTTTAATTTTTTTTTAGTTTTTTAAAGAAAATGTATTTGAAGTCACAATATTGCATGATATTTTTATGCTGTAAAATTGATGTGGGAAAAAACAAATTTTTTTTATATTCCCGCATCAATATTTCCCGAATTTTTGACGAGGGCGGGAGTGATAATCTAATAATTTTTTTTTTTGCCCTTTATTGCTGATTCATGATGAGGGTGATGGCGTATATATAACTATTGAACCGTACCAAAGAGGGAGTACTGTTTACTCTTTGACTGTACTAGGCCTAAATAAAAAATGCAGGCCTGCAGTAGGCTTGGCCTAGCCCTAGGCAAAAATTATAACTCCATGGCCTAGGCTACACATATTTTCCCCAGTTGAAAAATCAAAATACTTACCAAAGCGATCCGTTGTGTCATGTTTGGATGGAAGTTAATCAGAAATAATATGAAATATAAAAAGACTGCTGCTGCAGTTCTAACACCAGGTCATTCAACAAACAAACCGGTCCAGTAATCATGAAAAGAGGGAGTTTGTATTTATAATAAGCAATAATAAGCAAAGATACTAGAAATACAAGATAGAGTTCTCGCATTGTAAAAATGAGGCGGAAGTCGTGCCCAACGTAGGCGGCGCCCTTCTTTTTAACCATGCAAGTTTCCTATACTTCGTGCCCAACGTACAGGGCGCCCTTC